CTACAAGTATTTAATTAGTAAACTATCAGTATACCTATAAGTTCACTTTTAGTATAGTTGCAGTGCAAACTAAAAACATAGATGTAAACTAGTTGTGTACTAAAAGTTTACTACTGTTATACTAAAAGTACACTTAAAAGTATACTTTTATATACTAGAAAGTGGGCCAATTTAGTCCCTTACTACATGAAGTATACTTAAAAATATACTTAAACTTTACTTAAGTATACTTAATAAAATAAACTTGAAGTATACTACTTTTGGGTAAGGGTAGGAACAAATATGAAACAGTAGGGGAAAAGTAAAAATACAGCTATTATGAAAATAGTGACAGTAGACTAATATTGGCAGTAGACTCACCTGCAATAGGCCAAAAACCAGATAGGACTGGAACAGGTTTTTGTTTAGGATTGTCCAGATCAGTGTCAGGTGTTAGCCTGTAACTAAATGGACCCGAGGCAGATGGCGGCTCGGGATCTTCCAAATCCACAACAGGTGTCAGCTCAAGACTGGAACCTGGGATGGGTTTTGGCTCAGGAACATCCAGACCCATGTCAGCTGTCAGCTCAAGACCGGATGAACCTGGGACAGGTTTTGGTTCAGGAACGTCCAAACCCATGTCAGCTGTCAGCCTGAGAATGGGTGGACTTAGGACAGGCATTACATCATGACTGGATGGTCCTGGGACAGACATCAATGCAACTACAAGACCAGCTGGACCTGGATCAGGTGTTAAGTGTGAATCGAGGCTGAATGGACCTGGCTGGGAATCAGCTGGATCTTGGTTCGCCGTAACTGTCACCTTGAAACAAGATGGACCTGAATCAGTTGTTAACACCCACAAGGGGCCAGATAGACCTGGCTGGATGTCCGCTGGATCCCAGTGAGCCATTGGCTCAAGGCAACATGAATCTGGGGCCAAGGAGGAAAAAACAGCCCTACATGTTTGCTGGAAGAATGCTTGGATGTCTTTCTTCTTCTTCATTTTTGTTTGTTTTTCTAAATTGAAAAAGAAAAAAAAAGTAATGGAAAAGGAAAAGGAAAATAAATTACCACCAGAAACTGTAAGTCAATTACTGAGGCTAGACGTCATGAACAAAGAACACTTAAAAGGACACTTAATCTCAATCATCTTGCTAAAGATCCACGTTAAATTAATTCTAAACTTGGATTGGATGTTCATCTCTGACATTGCGGACATGTCATTCTATGTTTTTGTCTTTTGACCCTTAAAAATAAAAATTATATATAAAAAAATTAAAAACTAGTACTAGATCCTCACATGCTACATGTAAATACTGACAAATTTCAGGAATATAAATACAAACTAGACACAAATGTGAAACAGCAGACCAGGAGAGAAGTAAAAATACAACTACAATAAAAGTAGTGACAGTAGACTAATAATTAAAGTAGACTTACCAACTACTGGCTCATAACCAGATTGACGTGGGGCAGGAATTGGCTCATTATTCCGTGTAGATGGACCTGGGACAGGTGATGACTCCAGATTTGTTGGCTCAGCATTAAGTGTTAGCCAACCAAGGCTGAATAAAACTGGCTGGAGATCTGATGAATCCTGGCGAGCCACTGGGTCAGTGGCAAATGGATCTGGAGCCACTTTGTTGCCCCTTTGGCAACAGAGGGCAGCGCCCTTAACAGCCCTCCATGTTCGGCAGAAGAATGCACAGATGCCTTTCTTCTTCCTTATTTTTGATTGTTGTTCTACAAAAAAAAAAGAAAGAAAGAAAGAAATAGAAAAGTAAACAAAATTACCACCAGAACGGTCAAGTCAAATACTGAGTTTGACATCACAAAGAAAGAAGAACATTGGGTGAATACAGATGTTAGGTGAGACAACTGGTAAAGTGGGATACTTATGCTTAATTATCTTGTCCTTCATTATTAAAAAGTCACATTAAGTTCATTCTAAACTACAAGGAATTAGGAAAATCTTTTGGTTCTGACATTTTTTTTTTTTGATGCAATCTCGACACTCAACATTTCACTTGTACACTGAAAAATAAAACTAAACCAAATCCTAAACTAGAACTAGATACATCAGAATTCCCCATGCTACATGTTGAATACTAAAAAAGGTATTAGACAATTGTCAGGTGCATAAATGCTAATTAGGCATTAGTGTGAAAGAGCAGTAGGTAAAATGAAAATCCCAACAGCAGTTTAAAAAAATGATTGTAGACTTACCAACAGCTGCCCCAAAACCAGATGAACCTGGAACAGGTGTTATCTCAGAATCCAGTGTGGATGGACCTGAGACAGATGGCGGCTTGGGCTCGGCTGGATCCACATCCGGTTTTAGCTCAATAATAAATAGACTTGGTACAGGCATTACCTCAAGTCTAGATGGTCCTGGGACATTCATCGTCTCAGAAACCAGTGTGGATATACCTGGATCCAGGGTTAACTTTAAATCGAGGCTGGATGGACCTGGGACAAGTGATGGCTCCAGATCAGCCGGATCACTGTCAGGTGTCACCTCAAGGCTGGATGGTCCTGAGACCGATGACGGCTCAGGATCGACTGGATCGGCGTTAACTGTCAGCTCAATACCAGATGGACATGGATCGATTGATAACGCCCATTCAAGACCAGATAAACCTGGCTGGAGATCTGCTGGTTTGTCGCATGGAAATGGGGGCAATATGTCATCTCCGTAGCAACATAGGGTGCAAAGCTTTATAGCCTTCCCTATTCGCCGGAAGAATACTCGGAAGCCTTTCTTCTTCCTCTTTTTGGTTTGTTTTTCTAAGAAAAACAGAAATAAAAGATCAAATAAATTAACAACAGATGATGCAAGTCAAATACTGAGGAAGAAAAGAACATTGGGTGAATAGTTAAGTGGGTCATTTAAAGGTGTATTGTACTAGATTAAATTACTATATGCACAAAAAGTATTTTTTTTCGACTTTTTTCACTATTTTTACTATTATTAATTCCATTTATTTAGCCTACAGTTTTCATTTATGTTTTATTCTATTGTTATTGCTAACCTGTTGTGCTGTTCTCTATAGCGGCTGCTGCAGAAGAAGCCTCTTGTTCTGAAGCTCCTGTTGGGACGGTGGTTTTGTCTCCAGCTGTCTGTGTAGAGTCACTCAACATCAGCTGAGCATCTGCTGACACTGAACTGCTGGAGTTGAGCTCCACGGACTCAAACGCAGGAGAAACGCGTGTTGACATGCTGCATCGCTGTCGAACTTTCTGAAATTTTGTCGACTGTCTGTCTGGGTGGACTTCGAGTCTCTGCTCAGGTGATTGTCTCCGCTACTGCTTGGATTCTCACTGAACTGAAGCGATTCTCAGAGCGCGCGGATGGATGAGTTCTACCGTGTGACGTGAAAATGTTCAATATTCAGTTAAAAAAAGAAATATTGATGAAATATTATAAGGGTGCAAAAAATAAATCAATAATGTTTATTAGATTTCAAACAACAATTTTATTGTTTTTTTGTGAAAATAGTTCATAAACAGAGTTGCCCTTTAAGTAACAGAATTGTAAAGTAACAGAATTGACAGAATTGTCCGATGGACTGTCAATTCTGTTACCGCATTGTCAGAATTGTTACTCTACCTTGGTAACAGAGTTTGACGGTAACAGAATTGACAATTTTCTTTATTTTTTGCCAAAAACTCCACTTGCTAGCATAAATGCTAAGAGCACATGGCACTAATGAAATCATGATTAAAATACTTTTAAATAACACAAAGTGATCAATGAAAAAAATCTGTTTTCCTTTTGATATTGTGGTAACTTTATAAAACATTATAACTCTTGGTGTAAGAACTTTTTCGATTAAAATATTTTCGTAGACTTCACATAGACTTCTTTTTTTATTTTATTTTTTTTATTAACAAGATCAAAATACATGTATATGACAAACACTATACATGATATAAACAATAAACATTATACATGAAATAAACAATTTCACACTAGAGGGGCTGTATACAAATACAAATGTATATAAAAATATTAAAGCGTTTACAAACTTTCACCGTTTTAATTGCTTTTTGTTTCATAGAAAATCGTATAGTATCAATATAATGCTCCATTTCCTTCCTAAAAGAAAAAAAAACATTTTTTTTTGCATAAAAACTTACATTTGTGAATATTAAATTTTGCATGTAAAAAAATAAGATTTATCATGTAAACGTGACTGTGCTTTTCTTTGCTGTTCTCCGATCTTTCCATAACAAAACAAAATGATTATCAATATTTTGTACAATAAAATTACATACATTTTGCCAAAACAAATGTACCACAGTTTCAGGACAACTGACACAAAAGGAGCAACTAAAATCAATATCAGATTTAAATTTTACCAAATATTTGGCTGGGTAAATCCTGTGTATAATTTTGAATGATATTTCCTTAACCTTGTTTGTAATTAAATATTGATTAGGTATTAACCAAAATACCCTCTGCCTTTGTAATTAAAACTCTACCCCTTAAAGAGAAGTCTCTTATTAGCCAATGATTTAACTTTTTTTTGTTTTTTTCTCAATAATAGGACTCAAATTTAGCAAGCATCTTCTTTTCTGGTCTTTGGCTATCAATATTCCAAGATATTGAACCTCATTCTTTAAGGGAACACCATCATAGCTAGTTTCGAGACATTCCTTTATGGCCAATTATTTTTTAAATAATGTTGTAGAATTAGGTAAATGACTTTTTAGGGCTTTTATAAATTAAATGAATGAAATATTACAAAAAGAAAAGTACAATAATATATTTTGATTACACAATGATACATGATGGAAAAAATGCACTAACTAATTCGGACAACAAGAAATCATGATTTTCAGCTATTTAAGACACTTTTTGCAAAAACATATGATGTTGTTATGGACTGTAACATCTTGTAATTCATAACAATGAGTAACACAGTATTAACATTATTAAAAATATAACCATTTGAAAAAAGCAGGAAAAAAATGACTTTGGACACCAGCCTATTGACTGGAAGTTTTTTTTAAACATTCTTTCTTATTTATTTGGTTCTACAGTGTTTGCTGATTACTTTATTTAAACTTTGTGTATTTTATTTATTTTATTTTACATCAAGGTGTATATGCCGTGCCTCCAAGCTTTCTTATTCATTTGCTAATAAATGTTATGTTTCTTATTTATTTGGTTCCACAGTGTTTGCTGATTTTCAGTTTTATATACCTATTTAAACTTTGTGTAGCCTATGTAATTTGTTATTTTATTATGCATAGGCATAAATGGTGTATTTTTATTCGTTTTGTTAATAAAAGTTCTGAGTTTGACCTCGTTGTTGCTTGAATTGAGTCAATGCGAATTGCCTAATTTGAAAGTGAAAGTAAAACGCGCACGGCACTTTTTCTAGCTATTTGAAAGCCAAGAAATCCGAGGAAAAGAGGGAAAACTCAAATGAACAATTGCTTGACACCCAATTGCGTCACTTTGAAAGTAAGGAAAAGGAAACCCAATATCGCCCAGTTAAAGAATGAGGATTTATTTCGAAACATTACAAAGACTGATAACATTTATGATAATTATATATGCTGTTTGGGGGGAAAAGCATTGTTCATAGCTCATGATGCTGTAACGCATTTGCAGCACTAGAGAGCGACACTATTGCATAGGTCTGTTCCTGAAGAGGAAAGTTGCAACCCTAATCAAACATACCTGAACCAGCTAATCAAGGTCTTAAGGATCCCTTGAAAAATCACAGGCCATGTGAGCTGAAGCAGGTTGGAAATAAAATTTGCTGGATAGGACTGTATGTGAAATATCCTACAGGTGTGATATATGTAGGAAAATAAAACACTGAAGAAAAAAAGATGCATTTGTGCAGTGCCCTAAAGCAAAAACATAAAAAAATAGTGAGGAGGTGAAAAGGATGAAAAATTACCTTAAATTAGGTTAAATTCCCAAACTTTTTGTCCGCCAAACCTCTTTCACCTATTTACTTAAAGTACCCCTGAGATTTTAAAATAAATATTTTAATTATTAAGTATACCACATTTGCATGTGATACTATAACATTAAAGAGGTGTGTGAACTTTTAAGAACGATGTCAGACACTGTAATATGCTCTGGCCCCCTCCCTGCTTACCGTGGTGACGAGATACATACACAGACTGTCGTCACTCAGTGGCTGGATATCTAAATGATGCCAGCAGAATAACATAGGTTTCATAGACAATTGGACGAGTTTTTGGGGCAGACCTGACCTGTTGAAAAGAGATGGTCTTCGTCCCTCTTCTCTCTAGAAATATGTCACTTAGAGTTTGTACTTGACTAACTGGGGCCCAGGTCAGGAAGCAGACAGACTGGCTAAACCGACCGTCTGCTAGTCGCCACACGTCACAGAAGTCAGTTAATTCTCAGCACATAGAGACTCTTTCACCTAGATATAATACTATACAAATTTAACGGTAACAATTTAATTGGTTCAACAAATAAAACACAGATGTAATACAGATAAACAAATGATAAAGCTTGGCTTAATGATTATTAGATCGCTTTATACAAAAGTGCTTTTTGTAAATGATATGATCACAGATCATAGATGTGCTCTGTTTGACAGAAACCTGGCTAAAACCAGATGATTACATTACTTTAAATGAGTCTACCCCCCAAGATTACTGTTATAAACATGAGCCGTGTCCAAAAGGTAAAGGGCGAGGTGTTGCTACAATTTATAGCAATATTTTCAGTATTTCTTCTTGTTAGTGTAACAAGTGTTAATGATAAATCCCCTGTGACGTTTACTGGCTACTGTATACAGGCCACCAGGGCACCATACAGACTTTATCAAAGAATTCGCAGATTTTCTATCTGAGTTAGTGCTGGCTGCAGATAAAGTCTTAAATGTTGGTGATTTTAATATCCATGTAGATAATGAAAAAGATGCATTTGGATCAGCATTTTTTAGACATTCTAAACTCTATTGGGGTTAGACAACATGAGTCAGGACCTACTCATTGTCAAAATCATACTTTAGATTGAATTCTATCACATTGAATTAATGTCAATGGCATTGAAATTCTGCAAAAGAGCGATAATATCTCGGATCATTTTCTAGTCTTGTGTATACTTTATATAGCTAAAGCTGCAAATTCAACTTCTTATTACAAATATGGTACAACTATCACTTCTACAACAAAATACTGTTTTGTAAATAATTTTCCTGACTTGTTTCAATTCCTCAGTATCCAATAGCTCAGAAATCTTGATAGTGTAACAGAAACTATTGACTCTCTCTTTTCTAGCACTTTAGACAGGGTGGCTCCTTTACTCTTAAAGAAGATTAAGGAAAACAGTCTGACACCATGGCATAATGAGCACAATCGTGCCCTAAAGAGAGCATCCCAGAAAATGGAGCGCAGCTGGAAGAAAACAAAACTAGAGGTGTTTCATATTGCATGGAGGGAAAGTAATTCTGCATACAGAAAAGCCTTAAAAACTGCAATATCTGCTTGCTTTTCGTCTCTTTTAAAAGAAAACACAACCCCAGGTATTTATTCAGTACAGTGGCTAAATAAAAAATAAATAAATAAAACAGTGCTGTTACACAAAATAAAATACTTTTACGTCTGCTATGATGAATACAGAGTCTTTCATTCCCAGGAAGAATTTGATCATTAAAGGGTTAGTTCACCCAAAAATGAAAATTAGCCCATAACTTACTCACCCTCAAGTCATCCTAGGTGTATATGACTTTCTTCTTTCAGACGAATCCAGTCGGAGTTATATTAAAAATTGTCTTTGATCTTTCAAGCTGTTTAATGCCACTCAGCGTGTGTTGCATGCATCAGTCCAAAAGAAGTTAAATAAAAAAAAAGTGTCTCACACGGCTCCGGGGGTGAACAAAGGCCTCCTGTAGTGAATCGATGCGTTTTTGTAAGAAAAATGTCCATATTCAAAACGTAATAATCACTTTAATGTAACTTGCGCCAACAGTTGTACACGGAAGCAGCTCCGGATGACGTATGAGGTCAGCTTTGCGCATGTGCCACTCAGAAGTGATGCATGCGGAAGCGCAGGGGAGAGATTAAAACAAAACACTGGTCACTTATTAGAAGTACGAAACGAGGATTTGTAAAGAAGAATGTCGGAGGATTTCGATATAAGCCAAGAGGAGACTGGTTTTCCTTTGCTAAAGTAAGGAAACTTTGCTTCCTTTGCTCCTGTTAACAAACGTTGGTTTTCACGA